ATGACTGGAGATTAGAAAGGACTAAATAGAACTTGAAACTGAGATGAATAAATTTGCTAGGGAAACATAAATGCAGAATTTCATCAACACTGAAATCCTACATTAGATTCAATCTATTTGACTTTCTTCAGTTTGAACGGGAATTGGTTGCATTACAATTAAAAATCGAAAAAGGTTGATGATGGAACATTGATAATTCACAGAGCAGAATGACGATCCATGTCAACATGTACAAGAAGAATTAATCAGGTAGTATCGAGGCTCTGGTCACAACAAATTTAGACCTCGATCTGTTTCCTGTTTATGCTGTAGCAGTCTACTGCGATGCTAATTTTTCTTTCACCCATATCTAGGATTATAGTCGAATTTTTGAGACATAAGTGCACTTTTGTGATAAATGACATCAGGGGCGGCGCGAAGAGGTCAACGCAGGGGAGTACTCTCTCCCAACCCCCTCCCTCCGCCCCTGAGTGACATTTACATCTACAGTTATGTAGATTGAAATTTTGTCATTTTTATGGTTGCTGTTATAGATACATATGGTTACCTATGTGTTAGTAATAAAAATGTTCGCCTACAGATAAGAGCAAAGCAATTTTATGACTACTTTCTCATAGTCTACTTGATAGTTTTATCATTTATATAGATTCATTCACACTTAGTCATATTCTCTTTCAACGAAGAACCTTCGATAATAGAAAAGATGACTCAGTCATGGGATCGACGTACGTATCCTGTTATATTTCAGTTATGCACTGAGTCAAATTTAGATTGTGTTGAACTGTATTGTTCATCCAATAATTGGACTTCACCACTTGCAAGACTATCATATGCTTACAAAAACTCATTATCTTTTCGGCAAACGAAATATGTGTATTTGCATACTCTTTCACTTTTGTCTGGCGATTATGAATACAAATATAAAGTGAATAATAGACTACTGTGGGTATTGAATACTGAGGAAAAAATACGAAATGATAATAACTAGTAGACGGACGAGATCGATATTCAACAAACGAAAGTGATGATGCAAATAGAAGCGTTGATTACTGCAATACTGGTACATTATTATTCAAAAATCGCTTACTATGGGATACTGAGCTTATTGTCAATAATACACAATATTACAAAGCTCATAGAGCTATTTTATCAGTTCATTCTGGCTACTTTAAAACACTTTTTGACAATGACAACTTGAAAACTCCAACTGAAATACAAATACAAACTGATGATTTGCCTAGTTTTCATTTTATGTTTAAATTTCTATATACTGGTATAATACCTAGTTCTCTTGAATATAAACAATTGAAATTATTATTACAAATCGCTAATACATATCAAATACCAACACTTATTGAGATTATACAACAAAACTTAGCCAGTAAAAATATCGATGTTAATAACTGTTTACTATTATTGTCCATGGAAAATGAATTACAATACGATTGGATAAAAGTACGTCGATTAGCTATACAAATTGTAGCTGAAAATTTTAGATATCTTTGCCATCAAGATGAATTCTTGAATTTAAATTATAACATCATTCAAGATATTCTATCCCATTCAAATCTTCAAATTCCTAATAGAACAATGGTCAATATGGCTATACATCGATGGTTAAATGCAAATATAGAAATATCTCCTGATTTATCACAATCGATTACAATACTAGGACATTATAGGCATGCAAGAAATCGTTTTTCTCCTCTTTCATCAATTGTATGCTATTTTGCTGATGGAAGTACACGATATACGAATATGACAATAAATGCAATTAATTCATTTCTAAGAACAATCCCACAAATAATGGTTGGTCTATTGATTAAAGACAATGATACTCGAGATCATGTTATGTCTTGTATTGCCAAAACTTATCATTATCGTATTTTATGTAAACATACACCCAAGACATCACATTTTAATGATTGGAATCCTACACAATATAAATTAGATATTCTTAAATTTCTTGATCATGGTTTTGATGAAATTTATTGGATGGATTCCGATACAATTGTTTATCAAGATTTAACACCATATTTAGAAGAATTTTGACGTTCTTCAAAATTATTTTATTTCATTCTTGATCATGTCATGTATGATTCATCATTTGTTACCAAATGGAAAGAACAACATCAAGATACATTTATACCACAAGCATGTTTTATGGGTTTTAAATCATCATGTATGAGAACATTCTTTGGTCTGTGGAAAAATGCATGGAAAACATGGATTGAACCAAAACCATTTACAATGTATCAAGATCCAAATCCAGATTTTATTGGATCAAGTTTTTGTACTGAACAATATGCATTGGGTAATGCAATATCTGATTTCATAGCACAAGAATCTTTTTCACATAATTATCCATATGATTATAGAGAATTGATACTACCTATTCAACGAAAATTGATTATGATTGAAACAAATAAACGACTCGAATTATTTTATCCATCGTCCAAATTACAATCTATATTTCGTTCTCGTGCCATTATTTCTTCTTTACCTTATTCTTTTGTTTTGAATACATATTTTTTGAAGAATTCATTCTATCGGCTATCTAATTATCAAGGATCTACGAACATATCCATGTGGTGTTCCATGTTTTCGTATTCTTGCTCAAGTGAAGATTCATTTATTGATTCATTTTTTGATTGTATATTTCATTTCTATAATCAAAACTATGAAGCCGGTTATGAATGGTATTTCAAAAACTTCATCAAATGTTAACAGATGTTTACTAATGATGCTCGATTCCATTAAATTGCAACATCAAATGAATACAATTTTCGATAAAATCAATTATAAACTTTTCTTCATTTTGTAGAACTTGATTTAAAAGAGTGAATGTGGGTGTAGGTCTTCTTTTTTTTACTCTACCATAATCAACAAAATAAAGAAAGTTTTCAATATTTTTGATTCTCTCTCAATAAGATACAATGTATATCATCGAATTTGAGGCAAAACGTTGACTATAGTTCATATTCGGTTAGTCAGGAAAATTCATTTTTTCTTTTTCAATTCTATTTCATGACCTCGTTTTATTATGAGTTGCTATGTTATCCAGACCAATGATTGGAAAGCAAACGTCAGTCATTCATTGGTGTTGCATGTGCATATAAATACAAACAGACTCATCTCATTTACATACATTGAGCGCTTGGACATTTTCCAGCTAAGGCGAACATATTCATAATGACACAATGTCATATTACTGTTCCATTCAGAGAAAAATCACAAACGAAAAAAATTACAAAGAAGAATTTCAAGAAAAAATTATCATCAGGTAATAATAGAAATATGAACGATTATGAATCAATACTTTTGAAATTGTCTTAGAACTATCTAAACGTTTCTCAATAGTAATGAGAACTTTTTTTTTTTATTGATCTTAAGAACGAAAGACATACTGAATTGTTACTAAGTTCATAAAAGCCTAAAGAACTAATTACTTTACTCCACAGTCTCATAGGAAATA